ACGAAATTCCGTAATAGCGAGCTCGTTGCTTTGGACGGGCTATGCAAGAAGTACAGGGGCAGGGTTTAATTATTATTTTTTGGATACCCTTACAAAGGATTATAGATGCATATAGGTATGTGGCATTCCATATTAGTGCGAAAAACGGCAGGACTTAGCTACGGCACTTCATCTCACGTTATCTATCGATAATTTTGGTCCAACCACACCCTCGGTTGATATGTGACGCGCAGGAGCGTACTATTGGTATGCTATTTACGGCTTTAATGTCCCCTTGCATACCAATTATTCCTGTCCAAGAACCGTTACCCGGCAGATCACCAAAGACGATTGGGTCGAGAACGTTCTTGTGTCACCTACCACTCGGGGTACGTTGAGTGATGGTGATAGCGGTTCAGCCGCAACCGCTAGGCCCGGTAAACGCGGCCATAGAGCGCGGCTCCAGCTCCGCGTACATCTGAACGGCTCAGGTTCCCGTCTATGCGCGTACGATGGCGTATTCTGGAAGGGGCAGCTGAGGCGTACAGTGCTATGTAAGTACATGAGATGGCTCTCGCTTTCCGTGGGGGTGGGAAGTGGGAACCCTGCAAACGCAACCCTGCGCCACACACCAAGGGTTTATATGCAGTGAGGCAGGTCCTATGAGAATCTAACCTACTTATTATCTAGGTCGTCGGATTATTTTTTCCTTTCCCCCTTCGCGAGGTCGCGTCGCATGGTAGCGAGCTCTGTTCCGCTTACTTGCCTAAGATCCCCATGTCGAACACGTACAAAGTTCAGCTCTTTGCGATCAGTGAAGGCGCTGTATATCGCGCCCTATCGTATCACTGCCGCTTCCCTATACGGTCTCGGCATTCCCTATCTATCGACTTTGATACCGGTTTTCCCTGCATTAGATGTGAAGGGGGGCTACGACTCTAGTATCTCTCTCTTTGGACTGGGGAGCTTCCTGTCCGGTTTCAAATCACCTCGGCAGCGAGAAGCAGTTAGGTTGCGTACTCGCGCCATCTGTGACAGAATCGCAGTGGGAAACATGTCCGCGATATTGCCACTAGTTCGCTGAGCCCATGGCTGCTTTGTGTCTCGTACTTTTGTGTGTTTTGCTTGTTCAAAAAGATAATACGCATCATCCCATATTACTGCATATATAGTGATGTCGTCGTGAGGGAGATGAGAACCCCCTGAAATTCGTGTCCGGATGCGTTGCCGAATCTTCCGTAGTAGTAGCATTTAAACAATGTAGGATAGACCCCAATCTGTTCCTATTCGGGGACCGGTGATATATACATCATTCCTTCTTCAATGGATCCTCTTGGTCGAGAACCGCCGATCAGGTCATATTCCACTCTCCTGCTATTATTCAATACTATTATACCCAATACCCCATAAGCTATTCTTGTCGATCCTCACCTAGAATTTCGAGCCGTAGCGACGGTCACCATGGTGTCGCTAACAAGACCGAAAGTAGGAGATCGTGGGTTACTTACCCTTAAACCATCTTCTTCTTCTCGCTCTGCCTCGTCTAGTGGCAATGGACGAGCGAGTGGGAGCGGAAATAAGGCTGGAAGTCAAGATGGGAAAATCAAGGGCAAGGATACGGTCGTGAAGCCTTGGGCTAATCAACCGTGGCCGCTGATCGAGGTCCCATCGAGGTCCCAGAATGTACGTATTTTGTTGTCGTGCTCCTTTCATTACGGGTTAAGGAGATTGGTTTCCTTTGTATGCAAAGGATAGAGCTGCCTGCCTACCTCTTGACATAGTCCTTATTATTAGTTCTTCATGTTTTGAAGATATCCACTATTCCATCACCCAAGACCCAAAACTAGCATGAGATCTTCGAACATGTACGAAGACAACCAGACAGATAGCTAATGACAAGCCTCAAAGATCTCACACCCAGCCTTATACATTGCCAACGAGATCTCACACATCCACAATGCTATGTTGCGCGGGCTGAACTCGATATACCTCCAGACACCACATGTACGACAAGAGCAAGATATAGCAGACTTGTTATTCTTGACGCAGAGCTGGAGCACGTGGCTCCTCGACCATCACCACCTCAAAGAAAACACCATGCTCCCTAGCTTTGAAGCCGCATTAGGTGTATCGGCAGGTACGCTAACATTACCTAGTCCATCGGCTACCTCTAGAATTACATATGGAGATACAACGACGAGGACGGTGAAAGGTAAAGAGAAGGATGGATATAGAAAAGAAGAAGGAGGAGAGGAGAGAGGAGAGGAGGAAGAAGAAACGATATCCTTCCTCTTACACCGCGTCTACGCATACGCATCTGCCACGCACAAGGATCCGCAGGCATACAACGCAGCGACGTTGCAGGGCCTCCTCAGCACTCTCGCCGAGACTCTCGTGCCCCATCTCACGCGGCAGGTCGGGTTATTGGCCTCTATGCAGGAGATGTGTCTCGGTTCCTTCCAGGCCGGAGGGAATACTAATACCAATACTAACACCAAAGAGGTGGAAAGGGACGAGGAGATTCCCGGCCCACTACCTATTCCCATGGTCAAGATCACGAAGACGATTTCCTCCTCGTCTGGTGCTACTGCTACTAATAAGATAGCGGCTTCGTCTCCTCCATCTACGTCGCCGCCGACCTCCCCTTCCTCATCCACGTTCTCGATCCCCTCAGCCCCGACGCCCGCATCACCAACTTCGTCACCGCCGCACTCCCCGCCAAGTGTATCACTGTCTTTATTCCCTTCCACTACCACCGCCTCCACATCGCGACCATTGCCACACCATGCCAAAACTAGCAGTAGCAGCAGTATTACCAGCGCTAGCGCTAAAATTAGTAATACCAACAAGAACAAGACCAACAGTGATGGCAACGCCAAACATACCCCTGATGGTAGTGGTGGTAGTTCCCCTGTAGCCAGAAGCATGTCGGTAATAGACAGAGACGCCAAAGCACGCCTGGCCCGCGCCCGCGCCCTCCTCGAAGCCGACGACCGCGCCAACAAGTTAACGCAGATCCACGCCGCAGCCGAAGCACAAGCCGCGGCTAGTATGGATCCATTTATTATCCCGCCCATGATAGTACGGTTGCGCGATATCACTATCACCACCACCAGCACCGCTAGCGCAATTTCCTCACCCTTCTCTCACTCCTCCTCCTCCTCCTCTTCGTTATCACGCGTGCCGTCTTCTTCTTCGTTGTCGTCGAATAGTTCACGGAGAGGAGGAGGTATGGGCATGGGTATAGGAGGGAACAGCACTGGCGGAGTGGGAATAGGGGTAGGAGCAGGAGCAGGAGTAGGAGCAGGACTGGGGAATAAGGGCGAGTGGCCGAGGATGTCGGTCCCGGCTGTCCATGCCGTCGCTGATAAGCTCTCGCCTAGACATGCGGGTGCTTGGAGGTTCTTGCCGTGTGATGTTTGGGGACGGCCTAGAGAGTTGCCTTTTCTGGGGGTGTGAAGGGGGCGTGTGGTGGTGGAATCGGAGGGATGAGAGGAGTGCGTATATGTGGGTTTGGTAATGTGATGGGCATGTGTGTATGTATGTATATTTATCATTGTAGGATATAGAGATAAGTGAAAGCAAGGAGGTTGGAGCCTGTGCTTGAGACGTATACGAGGCTCAGAGTCAGAGGATGAATGATATAGTAATGGTAATTTTGCCTTGCTTATTCTATAGGATTCTCAACACGTACTTCATAGTGCTTCTAACGAATTTTACAACGCGTATTAGGTACGTATTTAGTTAGGTGCTGGAGTTGGCTGCCCGCAATCCTCTTCATCTTCCTCGGAGTTAGTAATAGGTTGTGTTAAATTGCCAGTTGAAGCCGGGTATAGCAGGAACCAAGGGGGGAATTAGAGTTGATATCGCACATCACTCTCAACAATTCGAATGCAGCCATATGGGTAATCCGGTTCTCGATAGCGATTGGAGCTCTGGCTATACCGCTGCCTGCGCGTTAGCCGCCATCTTCTATGCTCCAACTGCGGCTGAGGATGGGGTCCTGTCAGTAAGGTTCTATAATTATCTGAACACATATATAATCATAGATATAAACATTTACATAAGCATATATATAAGGATATGTATAAACATCTGTATATATATGCATACACATACCCTGTTGTGGATCTAACTACAGGTAGGTGAAGACGCGGCTCTGAATATCTATTAGGACATATCCATAACCCATTAAGTCCGAAGATTCAGCAAAACATATAAAATTCTTCGCGAGGATGACAAGGTCGGTAGATTGAAGACATGCAAGTTGGTGATATCGCCTATGTATTTGACAACATGAACAACGGTGTCGGCATGTCTTCCCAACATTGTCCTTATCGTTATTGGGACTGTTGTCGCGACCACCGTGGGAAAGTGAGATTATACGAGATCATATTGTAACGATAGACTGTTGGAAAAGGCGTTGTCGGAAGACAACAGAGGACTCCGATGAGCAGATAGCCTGATAAGCTATGCATATATACTCCGGGGTTTTATCATAGAGAAAACATCAACGGCAGTCCATGTGATGTAGCTGTTATGGTTTAGGTGACAGCCTCCTACCCGGTAGTATTGTCTTGAGTGTTCGAGGCTGGCGGTGCGAACAGGCAGAGCTATCCTAACTGAGGGTGTCAAGGCAGACGGATTCCTGAAATTTATAGCTTACCTCGCTGCCGGCTATCCGGAGAGAACATGATCAGGATCACTGGCTACCAAATGCCATAGGTCAAGAAGTAGTTATCTTGTTCTCTATCTACCTTCTATTTTTATTTCCGAGACACGATCTTCAAAGACAGTAAATAGGAAAGGCATCACGTTAAATAGTGACACAAATAGCATGCATACTACCAAAGAAAAAAAAGGGGAAGAAAAAGAGAGCATGTTTCGAGTAGGGAGAAAAAAAACATAAAAAATTATTTCTTTTGGTTGCAACTCTCAGTTTATGAGAGGCATCAGGGAATTGAGCCCGATGCGGGGGTCGAACCTGTGGATCATGATTAGCACGTGATTTGATCACGTAGTGATTGTTGGTATTATCTTACCCGCAACCTTGAGATTAAGAGTCTCACGCTCTACCGATTGAGCTAACCGGGCGCTTCTTGGTGAAAGTCAAGCATGCAAAGTGTATTTATCAATGTGTGAGGTGTGCGGGGTTAGGTCACGCTTATGGCGACTAGCGCGGGGTGAAGATTTAGGTAGGTCGGTGCTGAGCGCTGCCTGGCAGCTGGCACAATACAAGGTGTATACTACCTAAGGGGACAATATGGAATTGACAGCACATTGACTATATTAACTTGTAAGTCTTCATGGCCAAGATATGGTTTAGATCAGTCTGTACCGCTGGGCTACCTTGACTGACTGACTGACTGACCGACCTCCACTGACTAACCTATCCATAGATATGTATATAGACATGCATTTCGACCATTCAGAGACTGTGATGCGCCGAGTCCTTTACCTGTCAAAAGGTGTGGTCAAACCCGAAATACAAGGACGTTAAAAAGGGCTGGCTTAATTTCATGCCCACGACGCCCCAACATTCTTCTCTTTGCGCTTAATTGGAGCCTCTGAAGTCATAGTTTCTCTCTCTCTCTCTGCTCAGTGAGTCATACATGGTAAGTTCGAGTTCAAACTGTCTGTTTGTAGATGCAAGATTACCTATAAAAATACATCACCATCTTGAAGAGATCACAGGAATATTTATTTATATTATCCGTCATTGTAAAATAATGCTCACCTTGGTAATAATGTATACAGAAGGGTCATTTACATCCCGAATATTCGGAACATGGCCATCCATCCATCTACCCATCCCTCCTTGACCCGGAATGCGAACATCAATCAATTAATGACAGCGCGCATGTGAGACACATCTCCCCATCAATTACCAAATCTAAATTCCAGCAGGACTAGCCGTCTAAGCTGGGCAGTCAGTCCTCAAACGTGGACAGGAGTAAACAATTTAGGCGACTAGCGCTGTAAATGGTGAGACCTCTTCGCTGAATCTGGAGTAAATGCGTGCCAGTCGCGTCGTGGGCGAGGGGATACGGCCTCTTGAGACATTCAGAAACGGGTAAAGCGGAAAGAGGGGCGGTTATCTGCAGTGGCTTTTACTCTATTGCATTGCTGAGTTGCAATGTAAGGCCTCTAGCAAAATGGATAGCGCGTCTGTAGATTTTTCATGGGAAAGAGTGAGAGAAAGATAGATGGAAGGGATGGAAGGAAGTCAAGCTAGTCGAGGTCGTCGCGTCCTGGTGATGTCGAGAATCGTAATCTTTCCATCGCGTTTGAAGCTTCCCACTTGAGAATATTCTTCCTCGGCCAGTCAGTCTGTAGATCATCAGCACGATACGCATGCGGAAAGATAGGAGCTGTTTGGTATGTGAAGACGAACAACTCGCGCATAAGACTGTATCACGGATTCAGAAACGCTTCACGAAAAGCGCTTGATTTTCTCACGAGAAAAAAAAAAAAAAGATAATCGCTACTGCCGCTATTATTGTCGAGGTTCCCATTTACGATGATGGTGACGCGGCGGCGGGCGAATCCCCGTCGCGGCGCGGCCATCACGAGTTCGCGCCGGCACTTGCAATCGTTTCTCTCGGTCCAGCTCACGATCTTACTACTTAGCATCACGGCGCCCGTGTTCGGCACGCCAATATCGTATTTCCCCTTCAATTCACAACTTCCGCCCGTGGCGCGCGTCTCAGAACCATTCTCGTTCAGCTTCTCGCCCATAACATTCTCATCCGACCAAGAAATGAGCTACGCACTGGCCGAAGGTTCACCTTCATGGCTCTCGCTCGATAGCGCGTCGCGAAGGCTTTCCGGTACGCCGGACGACGCCACGGTACCCTCGGGCGAGACGCTCACAGGCATTGTAATCACGCTTATAGCAAGCGACGGTACGGGATCAACGGCCGTGAACGCAACGCTCGTCGTGTCGCGTAGTCCAGGACCCGTCGTGCGAATACCACTTTTGGACCAAATCGAGAAACTCGGTCCATTCTCGGCACCTACGTCCATATTACTTCGCCCAGCAAGCGAATTCGAGTTCGAATTCGACCCAAATACTTTTGGTGCTGGCGTCGCGAGAAATGGGAATGGCCAAGACAGTGTCCATGATGGGAGAAGCAAGACTTCAGATGTAAAAAGAGCGACAGATGGAACCATGAGTGGAACAGAGCCACTACAACTGAATTATTACGCCGTATCAGGTAACAATGCGCCCCTCCCATCCTGGGTTGCATTCGACGCCGAAAAACTTGCCTTTTCGGGCAAGACACCGTTGTCCGAGCTTCTTGCACAACCGCCTCAAAAGTTTGATTTCCAGCTCGTAGCTTCGGATGTTATTGGATTCTCGTCAGCATCTATCCCATTCTCAATCATGGTGGGCAACCACGAGCTTACTAGCGAGGAGCCCATCATTACAATAAACGCCACGAGGGGAGAGCATCTTGAGTACACGGACTTATCCAAGATATTAAAATTAGACGAGCAACCGCTCAAGGCAACAGACATTTCTTCTATTAAAGCGGAAGGCCTGCCAGAGTGGCTCTCCTTTGACGAAGAATCTTGGAAGATCAGCGGGACACCTGATCCAAAAGCACAACCGAGTAACATTACGATTGCGGTAATCGACAAACTTTCGGATGCTTTAAACGTTACTCTAGTAATAGATTTGAACGAAAGGATATTCGTGTCCGACCTCCCTAGCTTCAATGTCTCAGCAGGGGATGATTTCTCGGTCGATATGAAGAAGTTCCTTTTCAACCCAGAGGAAACCCAATTAATGGCCAGGATAGAGCCTGATGACTCGTGGATTCGATTTGATGACTCGTCTAAAATGCTGTCCGGGACAGTACCCAAGCCTTTCGATACGAAACTTGCTAGTGAGATTCGAGTGAGTTTTAACGCGACTCATAGGGATTCGAAAGAGAAGGAGACACAAAACATGAAAATCCACGTGAATAGACCAGTTGATACAGACAAAGTTCCTCCGGCGAAAGACCCTCCTCCTAAGGGAGACGACTCACATAGGGACTTATACTGGCTCCTTATAATCCCGGTCATGCTCATTGCGGTCGCTATCATTTTGTCGATCTTCATGGTGCGGAAACGACGGCATCAACCCAAAAAACTTGACTTCTCGGAGGTATCGGGACCCGTCCCGGGAACTTTCGTGGCGAACGGGTACCTGGACCCCTCGTTAGATGAGATACGAAAGATGGTGGATATGGGGCCGGAAGGACCATATATACGACCTTACATACCAGCAACCACTGCTAATCCTAGAACACCTCAGGCAGCAGCAAAGCCTAGAATAGTAGTAGATCATGTTACTCCGCTCTCCAAGACTAGGCGTCCTGGGGCGAACAAGTCGGCATACCAAGGCAATCATATCAGAGATTCTTGGCTGGGCGGTCAACATTCTCGGCCATCTCCCACAGGCACAGATGAAATTAGTCTATTATCTAACAAAAGTGGTAGCCGGGAAGATCACGAGAACGGAAACCTATTTGTAAAAAAACGAAGGCAAGGAGAAAAGGTGCAAGAGAAGAAAATTGGCCTTGAAGTTCCGGAGACGGCCGAACCGTTTAGCATACAAGCGACTCCTGATCTTGCTTATGTTGTAACAGGACGGTATGATTACGTTTCCGATGAAGATACATTGCCTTCTGTCGGTTCTTCAGAACGGCGACGATCGGGTCACCAACATAATCCAAACCTCATCATCCATGGGGCCCAGAATAGGCTCTCTAAAGCTTGGAAACGACTGAGTGTGTCGAAGCCAGGGGACACAAAACGACACAGCCAACATAGCACATCGACAGACGTGACAACTTGCACAAGTATCCTCACCTCAGGGGTCACCGAAGAAGCGACAACAGCGAGCGCAAACGTCGTAGCAAGACCGACAATAATCCACATACCCGGTAAGCTAGGCGAGGCGCGACAACTGAGTAGAAGAACAGGTGGTTCGACAACGTTCTTTGCTGGCGGTTCTATCACGCAGTCCCAGCGAAACTTTAGGCTGGACAAGGACACGACGTCAGTGTCAGCATATTCCCCTGACAAAGACCTTGGACCTCCCACTTCTTTTAAAGAGGGAGAAGTATCCCGGGACAGTGATACGACGTGGGATCACCTGACAACTACTCCACTGGGTATTGCCTACAGTGATAATCATCTAACTAAACGGGCCGGGGATAACAAGTGGAATACCGGCATCACAAACGAGGAATTAATGTCTCCTGATCGGTGGCCTAGACCGGGTGTAACTCCTCGAAATTTAGTAGGCACAACTGGCGTGTACCGGGGCCAAAGCGAGCCACCTCAGCTTCCGCCTTTTCAGCTACCCGCTAAGGTTGATCAACCAGTGACACCCATGGGTAAGGGGAAGAAAAGGTTAAGCCCTATGCGCAGACTGAGCCGGATCCGCGGCTCTATATCGTCGCTTTCGCAAACGCCATCGACACATACGCGAAGCAAAGGACGATCTTCTCGCGAGGAGCGCTTGCGTTTAAGTCGCCTCCGAGAGCAAAAGGCGCTGGACGGATTTCGAGCCATGATGTCGCATACACCATCACCTCACAACGAACGTCCTCCGACGAGGGGTAGACCATTGCCGGAGACACCATCAAGGACAAGCAGACCGCCACCCGCTGATCATTTAAATGAACCAAGAGGACTAAGGACCGTGGTCTCGAAAAGAAGCGTTAAGACATTGCGTAGCCACAAGAGTGTGCGGAGCACGCGGGCGGATGATGATGACGACGATTGGGAAGACATACCGCCACCTGAGTCGGTAATATTTGGGTGGGAGGGGGATGGAAGAGATGAAAGCGACGGAAGTTTTCCTGTTTATATCTAAGATGCACGATGATGAACTGCAAGCTCGGCTTGCTTGTATTACTTGATCTTCCTATACCTGGTTAGTACGCTTAAAATTGAGTCCAAGCCTTGGTTTACACTATTCTGGCCACCAAATCATACTATGCGTCCGAGTGTGAGAGATGATCAGCAAACAAAATATAAGAAAAATAATAAATAAAATAAAATAAAATCGGTATTATACTTAGGGTGATATTCAG